GGATCAGACCCCCATCACATGTAGGCTCGTTTGATTCGAAATTTCACGCTGAAGACGATGGTATGACTCAAAATAAGATTGCTCTGCAGAGGTAGTAACCAGAAGCAATATTGACTTCTTAGTGCAGAACTCAAGAGTTTTACAGTTACAAGTGGCAAACACTTCTGCACTTGGATTAGCAGAGCAACCAAGGGTTGGTCGCTACGACCGGACACTTGTATGAAGAGAACAAACTCCAGCTTGGTTCTCATCGTACAAGTGTCCGGTCGTGACAACCAGCTCTTGCTTGAGTATCGGATTCTCGATTCCAGTTAGTTATCAAATTTAGTCAACCAAACAGAACTGATCCCCACAAGAAAGTCTTTTTTTTTTTTTTCGTGAAAACGAAAAGGTCACGATGACGTCATATTAACGTGTTCAGGTCATAATTTGACTTGAGACGTTTAATAAGGACATGAATGTGTGTCAAAGACACCGAAGATTCTAATCCGTGACGTTTTCGTTTATTTTGTGGTGCGTGATACGTCGTGACGGTCCGCACGTACCGAGCACGAACTGCACGCGGGCAAGACAAACCACTAGACAGCTTGAAGGCGATCAACGCTTGCATCGTCGCCACAACAGAGAAAGTAGTCTTCCCAAGAACGACAACAAAATAAGGAAAAGGTATGCACGTTTTTAGTCTGGAAAACAGTTACTCGTAGATTTTAAAAGAGATGGGGACTAGTGTGATATAAATAGCGTTGTACAGGGTGAGGGATCTACTCCGTCTTTCTGCTGTATGCTGGATTCAGACGTACGGACGGGTTGTATAGAGCGCTTGGCGCCATGGTGAGTGACGGTAGGCAAGCCCGTTCGCACGCCTGAATCTTGAACAGTATAAGCAGAAAAAAAAGAACAGCGCAAATCACCCATCCTGTGCGTAAAATAATCTCAAAATTAAAGAGCACGTTTGTAAAACGCGACATGGGAATTTTGGAGTCGCACTTCCAGGTCTACGAAAAATCTCCAAGTGGTGAGCGGCAAATGGTGAGTACGTACGTGTGGATATGTATCCCTTATTTAAACTTGTCCATCCAGATTAGCGTAGATGCCAGAGACATAAGCTGCTTTTTGCCAGGCACCCTTAAAGCGTCCCCTCACTCCTCCTTACATTCCTAGCTGATTGATTCTCTTAAACTCAGTCTAATAGTCACGGGTTTAGGGTTTATGATGGTGTATGGTGTAAATGTAATTAAAAGAAAATTAAAAGAAAAATTTCAGTCGTTTGCAAAAATGTATCGCCCTTATTATTCTAGACGTGACTCGCACGTCAAAGGAAAAGGCAGCGGGTCAAAAGTAAAATGTGGATCCCGGCGCCGGGCAGGGCCAGATGTCGCTCGGCTGGCGGGCGGGACCAACTGGCATTTAACCGAGCACCCTCTGACCTTCTCACCCCCTCCTTCCTTCCTTTCCTCCTTCCATTGCTCCCTCCCCTCCGTGTCCTCGTCCGGTCGTCACTGTCAGGCAGCGCGCGGCTATGGGCGGGCTGCGGGGTGGGAGACTTCCCCGCGACAAAGGATGCAAGGATGCAGTCCGCGTGACCAAAAGGGCATACTTAAAAAGTAAATCTAGATATGCAAGGATGATGTTTTATAGTTTCATAGTTCACAGTCCATAGTACAGTTTTTCGAGTCAAGGGAGCATCATCCCCTCTATCACCCGCCTACAAGGGTGCTGGCCGGCGTGAGCAAGCAGGCATCTGACGAGATCCCCCTGGGGACTGCTCTCTTGTTGCAGCGGCCAGCTGCCCTCGGACCTGGTGCCGCAGCCGCCGCGACAGAAGCGCGGCCCCGGCCGCAAGGCGCTCGGCCAGTGGGGCGGCCCCGCGGCCGGCACCCTGCCGGGGCCCATGTACCAGGCGGGCGGGCCGCGGCCGCACGAGGTCATGAACCACATCCGGCGCCCGCCCAAGCGCTGGCGCCCGCGCCCGCACGGCGCCGACCGCCTCTTCAACTACCTGGAGGCGTCCGACTCGGAGGACGAGATGGAGATGCTGCCCGAGGACCTGGTGTGCCAGCAGTGCGGCCTCGAGTTCCTCGACACCGAGTCGCTGCAGACGCACCTCATGTCCATGCACCGGATGACGCTGGCGCCCTCGCAGGGCCCCGCGCCCCGGCCCTACCACTGCACCATCTGCGGCTACAGCTCCCCTTCGCACCCGGAGATCGTCGCGCACATGCAAAAGCACGCCGTCGTCGAGATGCGCTGCTGCGAGCCCGGCTGCAGGTTCTCAAGCAGCGTGCCGGTGAGTCTCGCGTGACTGCAGTGTTTCGGATGTATGCATCACCCTTTGATAATATTTACCACATATTTAAACGATGTTTGTAATGTAAGATTTACCGAGGGGTCCCCCACTTCCAAAACAGGTGTACAATGAGTTGCCGAGTTGGCGAGTTGCCGCGAGTAGGGCGCGAGTTGGGATCAATTTTTAGAGAGTTTTGCGCGATTTTGGCGCGAGTTTTCGCGATTTACACGCGAGTTTTCGCGAGTTATCGTGAGTTTTCGCGAGTTGTCGCGAGTTGAACGCGAGTTAGGCGCGAGTTGGGCGCGGCCAAGTGTACAACGAGTTGACGAGTGTGACGAGTGGGGGACCCCTCGAGATTTACACTTCAAAACATTATATAAAAACGTCTCGAGGTGCGCGTTTCATAATTCTGACCTGTCCGTCTGTCACGCAGGGCGCCATGGAGGAGCACGTCCGCCTGGCCCACCCGCCCATGCCGCCGCTCAATCAGAAGTGCCCACACTGCGGCTTCGTCGTCCTCAGCGGCACGGCGTTAAGCCGGCACGCCAAGACGCACCACCTCGCCACCGTCCAGTGCACGCCCTGCAACCGCGTGCTTCTGAGGTTCGACCGCCACCGCACCGGCGAGATGTGGAGCGAGGAGGTAAGGCGGCTGTGCGGACGGGCTGCCTACGGGCTGCCTACGGGCTGCCTACGGGCTGCCTACGGGCTGCCTACGGGCTGCCTACGGGCTGCCTACGGGCACGGGGCTTGCTTTCAGGGCCACCGCGATCTCTGTTCTGCTATGACTTTAATGTTAACCGGTCCATCTCATTTGTCCAGGAACAAGAGGACGACGAGGAGCTGATGGCCGCGGCGGCGCAAGCGGCAGAGGACGCCGTCAACGCCATCGAGGATGACGGCGACGAGGAGGGCGAGATGCACGACGAGACCGACGGGCCGACCCTGATGGCCGGCGGGGACGGGGCGAGCCTCAGGACGCCATCGGACCACGAGCTGGCGCTGCAGGCGCTGCGCTTCCACTGGCGCGTCAGGCGGCGCCGCGTTCGGCACTTCCGCGCGCTGCGCAAGCACCTGCAGTCCGTCATGGAGGCGCGCAGGGCCGCCGCCGAGGCCGAGGACGCGGGCGTGGCCGCGCGCCTCCGCCAGAAGCACGTCGGCCAGTGGCTGGTGCGGCGCCGCCTCGGCTGCTTCGCGTGCCCACCGGGCCGGCGGCACGCCTGGAACCTGCACTCGGCGGCGTCCCTCGCGCTGCACGCCGCCTGGCGCCACCCGCCCAACCCCGCCGCCTTCGCCTGCGACTCGTGCGACGCGCGCTTCCGGCACCGCTACCAGTCGCTGCTGCACGCCAGCCGCGACCACGCCGAGCAGGAGACCCTGGAGGAGGCGGCCGGTGGGGTAGTGCAGCAGCATGAGCCCATCGTCACCCTGACCGTGCCGCAGTACCTGGCAGCGTCCTCCACCGCCACCACCACCACTGCGCCGGGCCACCAGCAGCTGACCCAGCAGCACCTGCAGCTGCAGCACGACCCGCAGGCCTTCGCGCAGATGGACACGCTGCAGGTGCAGCAGGTGTACCAGGTGCAGGCCGGCGCGGACGGCACCGCCGCGGAGGGCTACGCCATGGACAACGTGACCGTGGTGCCGGCCGTGCTGTACGTCCCTCAGGACCAGCAGGCGCAGCAGCAGGCGCAGGCCGACCCGCAGGCCGAGGCCGACACCCAGCAGGAGCAGTTCCAGGCGCCCATCTACAACGGCATGATGGTGCCCACCGTGCCGGCGGACATGCCGGCCGAGCCCACCAAGCAGGTGTGGTACCCACAGCTGGCCACACCTTCCTATTACATCTCAACGCAGTTTCCCTCTACCTAAGTGATCACTGGGGTCCTCGCAAAAATGACAGTCAGGGAATCCATATAAATCGCACGCTCCATCATGTTGATGTAACGCTTTGGATAAGAGACTAATTTCAGCGTTGCACAGTGTGAACTTAAATTTTCTCTGGTACGGAGGAGAATGTGGGAGACTATGAAGATGTGTGAGTGATATCTTTTTTTGAAATGTGTTATGTTAACATAATATTTTAGTAAATTTGTGACAAATAAGTTTCTTGGGCTGGATGTGCAGTGTCCAGTTGATGTTGTTAAACGTAAGATGGAGAGTTATTACTAGTTTTTGAAATTGTACTAGTACGAATTTTAGTCCACTTAAATTCAATAATTAGACATTGTACATTTAGCCCTTGTAACCAATAGTAGTGAACATATGCTAAAATTAACTTAAAACATTTGTACCTTATAGCCGAAAACTATAGTTATGTTAACAGTTGGACCAAGATATAGTGTACCCACTGATATTTTCTTAAACCCATAAACCTTGAATGTCGACACAACAGTGCAATGTTGTTTCCATCATTTTCAGAAGTGAACCGTTGTAAAACACCATTCTTGAGATGGAATAAATTGAAATCTACATTCGCACGATTGTCGAAATCATACGTTTTTGCCAGTAATCTTACCTTTCACCGACCAGACGCGATTTGAGTCCTCACACCATCCTCTTTTCATCTTGACACAAGCAGCACTCAGTGAGCCTCGGCGACGTCGCCCGACAGGACAGAGGTAGCAGTAGCAGACGAACAGCAGAGTCTTGTCCGGACACTGGTCAAAAACTCCAGCTAACTTTGTGCTTCAATGCGGCGCTCCACCTGTGACACGAATATTTTACTTATCCTGGTAGTGGTACGTATACTAAGCGTAGTTTGGTTGGGAGAAAATGTACCTCTTTAGACCGTCAGTTGCGAAAGACATGTTGACGTCACAGTTGTTGATAGGTTAGAGAGGCTGCTCCGGACAACTTCTTGTCAACTTTGTAATCGAACGACAACGATGTTACCTCATAAAAGGGCCTGCAACGATGCCGTGACATTAGGCAACAGCACGGGTCAACTGGACTTGCCGGTGAATGTGGTAATAGTCTGCGGGACATATTTTCATTATTATTATCGCACACTCATTGTGCTGACAAGAAGAAGAATACGGGTAACAAGAAAACGGAAAGCACTATGCCATAACATGGTGACTTCCGTTTTCTTCGGTTTTCTTGTTCCCCGCATTTTTCTTCTTCTCACCTTCACCGAAATAATTTAATCAACTAACGTTTCTCTCGATAGAATCCCGACCGGAAACAGTTACAAAAAATCACGCTCTTTTAACGTGTAAATGGCTTTGATGGATAAAGGTACCATCCAGAATGTTTTTAATAATTTTTATAGCAGTTTTTCACATTTTCTCGCGACGATATAGCAGGATAAAGATACTGGTTCCGGTCGGGATTCCTGTTTTCTTCTCCCGGAGCCGAGACCGAATAGGGTCTATTGTATTTGCAAGCAGACATTGACGTCGCTGGCAGACCTGCCGTTGCTGAAGGTGTTGTCCTATGTGCCGGGCACGGACCTGGGCGCCGTGGCGCGGGTCTGCACCCGGCTGTACGCGCTGACGCGGGGGCACTGGTCGGTGTGGCGGGGCAAGCAGGCATGCTTCAGCTTCAAAGACCACGAGGGTCTCCTTGCCCTGCTGCGCGTCACCCCGCCGTCGTGGGAGTCGCTTGAAGTATGCATGGCTGACCCGAAATTGAGGTGGGATCACAAAGACATCCCCGACCCGGACCCGAAAGAAAACTACAACGTGGCGAAAGTCATCGAAGGTGGCAGGTCGGTACTGAAGGGCTAAACTTTGCCAACGGCGCCAAAACTTTAAATACAACGACAAATCCACCTAATTTTACCCCTGAAGCTTCAAATGTCCATAGACATGTTCTTATAAGGTGCGGACTCTTAAGGAAATTTCCATGAAATTACAGGACATTAAGCTTGAGCCTTCTCTCCGAAACTCTGGCCGTGACAGTTATCCAGGAGTTTGGGCAACGGCGCATCAAGAATTTATCCATTGAACTACACGACGTCCGCAGGAGGGATCTGTTTTTTTCCAGTCTGCATCAGGCCACCTCATTGGAGACCATTAATGTAAAATGGTCGTGGCCTCCTAGTTGCGAGGGTTGGGAGCCGCAGTCCTATCGTGCCAGCTCCCGGTGGCCACAGGTGAGATCACCCGCTGGCGACCCTGCTACTTCTTCATCAAGGTTTAGGGTTCGGCCATTGGGTAGGTTGCCTACACTGTAAATCCGGGGTGTCCAGCAACTGTGCGATTTAAGGTGCCCGACCCTAAAACCTGTGCGACTTAAGTCGCACAGCTGCTGTACACCTTTTAGTTTGGCATCCTTTTCCCCTGCACAAGGGCCCAGGCCAAGCCTAGGTAGGGAGGGTGTCCTGTTGTTGGACAGACACCCCCTGCTTGGGCTCCTCTGCAGGGAAAGGGCGCCAAACTACAAGCTGTCCAGCAGCTGTGCGACTTAAGTCGCACAAGTTTTAGGGCCGGACACCTTAAGTCGCACAGTTGCCGGACACCCCGGGTTACAGTGTACAGATGGGCCCAATAAAGGGGTTTCAGGCGGGGAGGGGTGAGAAGGAAAGAAACTCAAAATCGGGTGACAGCAGCTGTTTCGCATGCAAACTCTTATGGCGCCTGAGTGGGTAGGCAATGTCTTGCCTGCAGCGCAAGTCTGTACTGCGGGATGGCCTACCCTGAGTCTGGCAGGCGCCGAGCTGTCGTAATTAGCTATTTCAGAGAAATGGGGAAGAAGAACAGCACGAACAACAAGGAGGCATTTGATTCGTCGCTCAGGTGGAGGGGAAAACTTGGCGACGAATCACGGGCCACCTTGTTATTCGTGCTGTTCTTCTTTCCCATTTCTCTGAAATAGCTTATTTGCCGAATTCATCCGAGAAGAAAACGGACGCACTTTCGCACTTTCTAGACGATTCCTTCTAACAGAGAAGTGATTTCCTTTTCGACCGCAACGTGCTTCTTCTCTTCGCAGGTGCTGCCTCGACTGCATAGCGTCACGTTGGATTATCGGGGTAATCATCACGCAGAGTTCAAACACGAGTGTCGCTGGTTACGGTTGCTGATTGAAGCGCACTGGTAAGTGCTGCTGCTGCTGCCTCTTTTCGTCCTCCCGAAGGCGAAACTAGTGCAGGTGCTTTGAACACTCTGCCCTGCTTGCAGCGAGCAGCTGCGGCGCGTGTCCCTGCGCTCGCCCGAGGTGATGTCCCTCCTGGAGTTCTGCCCCAGCGGCCTGGAACGGCTGACCGTCACGCCAGTCGAGGGGATGGCGGAGAAACTGGAGCCCTTGTTGCAGGGTCTAAGGGAGCTGGAATTCATCGGCAGGTTTTCCTCGAAAGCGGGAAAAGAGGTGAGATCCTCTTAAGGTGCCCTTACACTCAGCGTCCGCTGTATCCGCATTGATATGTTAAACCGTTTTCAGATATGGTTTTTATTACCAAACGTTAGAAAATGTGTCCAGGATATACGGTCGTACATTTGATTAAAATTTCTGCCTGAAACATCAACGGAAAATAGAAAACGGACACAGCCGGACACGTCCGCGGACACCGAATACGCTGAGTGTAAGGGCACCTTTATGTATGGTATCCTGTTACGTCACCGACCTTGAACCGAAATTTAATACATCCCTACGCGTCTTTAGCTGGCGGTCTTGTTGAGGGCCTGGCCGGGTCCGCTGGTCTCCTTGGGTCTCGAGCACTTCCCCGAGGAGGTGGTGCGGGCCCTTGGGTCGGGCGCTCTGGCCGGCCTGAAGCACCTCAGACTAGGCGACCCGCTCGAGGTCGTCGCCGAGCGCGCCCTGTCCACAGCGCTGCCCGGCCTGCCCAGCCTGACCCGGCTGGTTTTGAGCGCCGCC